AATTCCAAATTTTGGGGCCCTTTATGTACATAGAGTTCTTAGACAGTGTGATGTGGACATGGGGTGCATCAAAAAGTGATCTGTGTCTTGTGTTACGGTCATGTGTCCTGTTAAGGTTGGTGAGAAGTTTCAGTGGAGGGTTTATGTTTGAGTGTAGTGTGCTATGTATGTAGTAGGCACATGAATAAGTATGGATGTTCTTTACAGTGAGTAGTTTTAGACTTTTGAATATTGATGGTGTATGCTGTCTGGAATGGGAATTTGTTATCATTCTGACTGCAGCCTTTTGCTGGGTTATTAATGGTCATAGGTGATTTAATGTTGTTGATCCCCATGCACAAATTCCATAGGTGAGATAAGGGTAGATGAGTGAGTGATACAGTGCAAGGAGAGCTGATTGTGGAACATAGCACCGTATCTTTGATAGTATGCCTACTGTCTTAGAGATTTTCTTGGAAATTTGTTGTATATGTGTTTGGAATTTGAGGCTACTGTCAAGGTGGATTCCTAGGAATTTTCCCTCTGTGCATCCTGTGATGGGTAATCCATTTAGCGTTATATTAAGTGGAGCATTTGTGGCTCTGGTTTCAAACTGAATGAAATAGGTTTAGTCAGTATTGAGAGTAAGCTTGTTAGTAGTCATCCAGGTAGATATTTTCTGCAATTCAGCATTAACAGTGTTTGCCAGTATGACTGGGTTTGGGTGAGAGAAGACGTATGTAGTGTCATCTGCAAATAATATGGGTTCAAGTAGTTGTGATGCATTTGGTAGGTCAATGATGTAAATGAGACTATATTTATTTATAATGGCACAAAACATACTCAACCCCTGCCAATTTGGATTCAGGAAAAATAAAAGCACTAATGATGCAATTATAGAAATGCTAGATCTGCTTTACACAGCATTGGAAAATAAGGAATATCCACTAGGAATTTTTATTGACCTAAGAAAAGCTTTTGACACAGTAGACTACAGCATCCTACTCCACAAACTTGACCATTATGGTATAAGAGGCCATGCGCTTGAATATTTCAAATCTTACCTTACTAATAGGTATCAGTATGTCACCATTAAAGACACAGCATCAACAACACGGCCACTTGATACTGGAGTTCCGCAGGGAAGTGTCCTTGGTCCCCTGCTCTTCCTCATATACATCAATGATCTTCCAAACGTATCCCAACACCTGAAACCCATTCTCTTTGCTGACGACACGACTTGTCATCTCTCACCCTAATCTTGCCACCCTCAACACCATTGTTAATGAATTGAGACACTTGTGAAACACATGGGAATCTTCATTGAAGAAACTTTTCGCCACACAGTGGCTTCATCAGTCCAATACAAAGTAGAAATGGGTAAGGAGAGGAGGAGTTCGAGGTAATCAGTCCCTCAACCTGGAATCGATGTGTTCAGTCCATCACTCTTGTAGGAAGTGCAGCATAGGGCCAGAGAGGTGGCTTATATACGGCAGTCAGATGAGTTGAAGCAGGAGGAGGCGGGATCACAGTGGGACCTGCCACTTGTGTAAGTAGGTCGTCGTCCAAGGTTGGGCAAGCGTTGAAGTCTTTGTACCAAGATCCCATGATGTTGCAGTGTCTGACAGATGTGGTGAATGGTTTTAAAAACCGACAAGTTGAAGACCTACTTACACAAATGGCAGGTCCCACTGTGATCCCGCCTCCTCCTGCTTCAACTCATCTGACTGCTGTATATAAGCCACCTCTCTGGCCCTATGCTGCACTTCCTACAAGAGTGATGGACTGAACACATCGATTCCAGGTTGAGGGACTGATTACCTCGAACTCCTCCTCTCCTTACCCATTTCTACTTTGTATTGGACTGATGAAGCCACTGTGTGGCAAAACATTTCTTCAATAAAGATTCCCATGTGTTGCACAAGTGTCTCAATTCTTCAACTTGTCGGTTTTTAAAACCATTCACCACACCATTGTTAACAACGAGCTGATCAAAATATCGGCTTGGATGACAGCCAATAAACTTATGCTTAACACTGACAAAACCTACTGGAGTTTACCTGGAGAGAGAGTTCCGGGGGTCAATGCCCCCACGGCCCGGTCTGCGACCAGGCCTCCTGGTGGATCAGAGCATGATCAACCAGGCTGTTACTGCTGGCTGCACGCAAACCAACATACAAGCCACAGCCCGGCTGGTCAGGTACCGACTTTAGGTGCTTGTCCAGTGCCAGCTTGAAGACAGCCAGGGATTTGTTGGTAATCCCCCTTATGTATGCTGGGAGGCAGTTGAACAGTCTCGGGCCCCTGACACTTATTGTATGGTCTCTTAACGTGCTAGTGACACCCCTGCTTTTCATTGGGGGGATGTTGCATCGTCTGCCAAGTCTTTTGCTTTCGTAGTGAGTGATTTTCGTTTGCAAGTTCGGTACTAGTCCCTCTAGGATTTTCCAGGTGTATATAATCATGTATCTCTCCCTCCTGCATTCCAGGGAATACAGGTTTAGGAACCTCAAGCGCTCCCAGTAATTGAGGTGTTTTATCTCCGTTATGCGCGCCGTGAAGGCTCTCTGTACATTTTCTAGGTCAGCAATTTCACCTGCCTTGAAAGGTGCTGTTAGTGTGCAGCAATATTCCAGCCTAGATAGAACAAGTGACCTGAAGAGCGTCATCATGGGCTTGGCCTCCCTAGTTTTGAAGGTTCTCATTATCCATCCTGTCATTTTTCTAGCAGATGCGATTGATACAATGTTATGGTCCTTGAAGGTGAGATCCTCCAACATGATCACTCCCAGGTCTTTGACATTGGTGTTTCGCTCTATTTTGTGGCCAGAATTTGTTTTGTACTCTGATGAAGATTTAATTTCCTCGTGTTTACCATATCTGAGTAATTGAAATTTCTCATCGTTGAGCTTCATATTGTTTTCTGCAGCCCACTGAAAGATTTGGTTGATGTCCGCTTGGAGCCTTGCAGTTTCTGCAATGGAAGACACTGTCATGCAGATTCGGGTGTCATCTGCAAAGGAAGACACGGTGCTGTGGCTGACATCCTTGTCTATTGTTGGATATGAGGATGAGGAACAAGATGGGAGCGAGTACTGTGCCTTGTGGAACAGAGCTTTTCACCGTAGCTGCCTCGGACTTTACTCTGTTGATGACTACTCTCTGTGTTCTGTTAGTGAGGAAATTATAGATCCATCGACCGACTTTTCCTGTTATTCCTTTAGCACACATTTTGTGCGCTATTACGCCATGGTCACACTTGTCGAAGGCTTTTGCAAAGTCTGTATATATTACATCTGCATTCTTTTTGTCTTCTAGTGCATCTAGGACCTTGTCGTAGTGATCCAATAGTTGAGACAGACAGGAGCGACCTGTTCTAAACCCATGTTGCCCTGGGTTGTGTAACTGATGAGTTTCTAGATGGGTGGTGATCTTGCTTCTTAGGACCCTTATATTATGTTTGGTAGCAAAGCAGGAGTTGCGCAAATTAACATTAAGATCGACAACACTCTAATTGCCAGACATAATGAGGGCAAACTCCTAGACAACAACAACCTGAATTTCAGCACCCATATCCAACACATAACCAAAGAAGTATCCAAAACGGTTGGGATCCTCTCCAAGATACGATACTACGTGCTGCAAAATGCCCTTCTTACACTATACCACTCACTTATTTATCCATACCTCACCTATGCTATTTGTGCTTGGGGATCAACTGCAGCAACACACCTAAAGCCAATAATAACCCAACAAAAAGCCGCAGTAAGAATAATCACTAATTCCCATCCCTGGCAACACATTCCCCCACTCTTCATAGATCTAAACTTACTCCCTGTTCAGTACATCCACACTTACTACTGTGCAATCTACATCTACAGGACCTTAAATTCCAATATTAACCTTGACCTAAACTGCTTTCTTGATAGTTGTGACAGAACCCACAGGCATAACACCAGACACAAACATCTCTATGACATTCCCCGTGTCCAACTAAATCTTCACAAAAATTTAATGTATGTCAAAGGCCCTAAAATCTGGAACACTCTACCTGAACTCTAGAACTGCAGACACATTCATCACCTTCAAAACTACCATTAGAAAACATCTTATCTCCCTGATACACCCCGTCAACTAATTACACGAATACCACCTGGTGGTTCACACACTCACTCACCCATTTGACCATAAACAGAAATATCAATCTCAATCTTAAAATAATGAATCCTAACTAGTCATAAGTTGGCCTGTGATACTCCAATACTGAAACTATGTATTGTGCCAAAACAAAAGCATTCACATTGCTAAATTCACAAACTAGTATTTAGTCACTTAGCCATAATACCAACTTACCTCATAATTTGTAATATTTTAAATTTAAGAATTAATCTAACTCTGCCCAAAATGCCTAGCCATGCTAGGTGTTCTAGTGGCACCCTCTGTAATAAGTATTTTACTACATGTAAACCACACAATAACCAAATTCTGTAAACTCAGCATTGTAATCCTTATAGAGAATAAACTTTGGAGAGGGCCAAGTACACTTCCTTGTGGGACGCCAACTGTGTGGAAGAGTTAGTTCCATTTGTGTACACATTTTGGCTTCTGTTACTTAGGTATGACTTTAGGTAGTTGAGGGAGTGCCCTCTTATACCATAGTGTGTTAATTTAATGTGCAGCAAATCATGGTTGACTGTACCAAAAGCTTTACGTAAATCAATGAAGATTCCCAGTGGGACTTGTTTCTTCTTGAGAGCAGTGTATATTAGTTCTAGCATGTGTATAGTAGCATCATTTGTGCTTTTATTAGTCCTGAATCCAAACTGAGAGGGGATGAGTATGCAATCTCATTTAAATCCTGATTAGTTTAGTGCTTGTAATATTTTTACAACTACTTTAAATCAAAGTCAATGACTAAACAAAATGAATTTTTGTTACAGAATTTCTTGGATTTTGAAAGAGTGTGAAGTACAAGACGTATTGTAGTTTGGAGGACCATAAAATATAATTTTAAGTTTTACCTTAATAGTATTACTGGTGACAACAACCCAGAACCCTCGAAAGTCATATGCGTTCAATAAATTGGGTGTCTTGACTTTGCATACATCATCTTTTTTGTTCCTTCTGATGGCCGACTCCTTCCCTTCCCATCCACCAAGGAAGATCTCATACATGTGCTGTGGAACCTCTGCTGCAGCCCCCGACAAGCATACATTGGCATTATGAGGTGCTTTGACACGGAACCTGAAGCTTGGTCCATTCATTGGTCGGAAATTATACTTGCGATTGGAGCCACTGTCTACGGTGTGATGTACTGAAAAAAAATTTGGGAGATTATAATTTATATTCTTAACAGGTAAGAAGTTTTAATAAAGGCATCATACATCTGAAAAAGGGATGTTTCTCCTTCATTAAAAAGTGCACTTGTATTGATTGATAATCTGCTTGCTTTAGAAAATAACGAAAATATGCAAAGGAATATCTAAATTAGAATTTGATGTGATTACTCATAAACTGGTTAATAATAACAAACTCTTTTCCAAATTTCTTAATTTAACATTAAAAAATAAATTATGAAAAATATAGTAGGGAATGAAACTACTAGCATCTTGGAACACCAGTTACACAGTTTAGGTATAGCACTACAATGTATTAACATGATTCTAACCTTCATACTTTGAACACTTACTATGAAAATAAAAACAATTTATGTAACTCATCCCAATGCTGCACTACTCACATGGGGAATTTTATGCCTCTGTGTCAAAATAATACTGTAAGAGTATATAAGTATGTATGTATAACATTATATATAAGTGAACTTGAAATACAAATTCAATTCAAATTCAAATTCAAACTCAAAGTTTATTCTCTATAAGGATTACAATGCTGAGTTTACAGAATTTGGTTATTGTGTGGTTTACATGTAGTAAAATAATGATTACAGAGTGTACCACTAGAACACCTAGCATGGCTAGGCATTTTGGGCAGACTTAGTTTAATTCTTAATTTTAAAATATTACAAATTATGAGGTAAGTTGGTATTATGGCTAAGTGACTAAATACTAGTTTGTGAGTTTAGCAATGTGAATGCTTTTGTTTTGGCACAGTACATAGTTTCAGTATTGGAGTATCACAGGATTCAATATTTTAAGATTGAGATTAATATTTCTGTTTATGGTCAAATGGGTGAGTGAGTGTAAGTGTGAACCACCAGGTGGTATTCGTGTAGTTAGTTGACGGGGTGTATCAGGGAGATAAGATGTTTTCTAATGGTAGTTTTGAAGGTGATGAATGTGTCTGCAGTTCTAGAGTTTTCAGGTAGGGTGTTCCAGATTTTAGGGCCTTTGACATACATTGAATTTTTGTAAAGGTTTAGTCGGACACGGGGAATGTCGTAGAGATGTTTGTGTCTGGTGTTATGCCTGTGGGTTCTGTCACAACTATCAAGAAAGCATTTTAGGTCAAGGTTGATATTGGAGTTTAAGGTCCTGTAGATGTAGATTGCACAGTAGTAAGTGTGGATGTACTGAACAGAGAGTAAGTTTAGATCTATGAAGAGTGGGAGGGGGGGTGTTGCCAGGGATGGGATTTAGTGATTATTCTTACTGCGGCTTTTTGTTGAGTTATTATTGGCTTTAGGTGTGTTGCTGCAGTTGATCCCCAAGCACAAATAGCATAGGTGAGGTATGGATAAATAAGTGAGTGGTATAGTGTGAGAATGGCATTTTGCGGCATGTAGTATCGTATCTTGGAGAGGATCCCAACCGTTTTGGATACTTTTTTGGTTATGTGTTGGATATGCATAACTATGAATTTTTTCATCTGTAGCTGTACCTTCTGGCATAGTTAATTTGTGCAATAAACTTGCTGAAACAAATGGTAATTAATGTGATATTGTTAAGAAAAGTAGAATCACTCAGAATAGGACGAGAAATTTTTTCCTGGATAGAGGCATGGTTGATAGATAGGCAACAAAGAGTTTGCACAAATGGGGAGAAAGTGGAGTGGGGATGCTTTGCTAGTGGTGGTCCACAGGGATCAGTGTTGGGCCCTTTGTTATTCACAACATACATAAATGACATAGATGAGGATATAAATAGCAACATAGACAAGTTTGCCGACGACACCAAAACTGGCCATTGGATTAATTCTGATGAGGATACTAGAGTGCTACAGGAGGATCTGAATAGACTGATGAAGTGGTCATTGAAGTGGCAGATGCATTTTATTGCAGACAAATGCAAAGTTCTAAGCTTTGGAAAATAAAATAACCATGGCACATATAATCTAAATAATGTACGTAGATCTTAATCATTTTAAATGAAAAAATGAATTAGCAGTTCTGGAGACCAGTAATCTAAAGCCAAGACAATAAATAGTGTGTAAGTGTTCACAATAAAGTGAATAGAATTCTTGGCTTCATATCATGAAATATAAATAACAGTTTTTAGGCTATTCTTCAACTCTATACATCACTAGTTAGGTCTCATTTAGATTATACTGCACAGTTCTGGTCACCATATTACAGAATGGAAAACATACAGAGAAGGATGACGAAGTTTATCCCATGTATCAGAAATCTCTCCTATGAAGATAGACTGAATGTACTGAATTTGTACTCTCTAGAAAGTGTAGAATTAGGGAGGATATGATTGAGGTGTATAAATGGAAAACAGGAATATGGAAATAAAGGGGATATAAATAAGGTACTAAAAATATCTTACCAAGACAGGACTTGCAGCAATGGGTTCAAGTCAGAAAACTTTAGATTTAAAAAGGATGAAGGAAAGGACTGGTTTGGTAACAGAGCTGTGGATGAATGAAGCAAACTCCCAAGTAGCATCAATGAAACTAAAACCTTTTGAATCTTTAAAAATACATCAGACAACTACAGTGGTACCTTGAATTTTGGCTGAAATTCCTTCCATAAGGCTGTTCAAGTGCCGTTACCGAACGAATTTGTTCCCATAAGGAATAATGTAAATTAGATTAGTTCGTTTCAGACCACCAAAAATACACTTACAAAAGCACTTACAATACACTTACATAATTGTTCGAGTTGGGAACTGCTTGAAATTCGAGGTACCACTGTACATGAGTGTGTGGGGGTTGGTGTGACTTGGACTTACCTAGCATGAGCCAGAAGGCCTGTTGCAGTGCTCCTTCTTTCTAATGTTTTTATGACCTACAATAATTTTTTTTTATATTTTAGTTTTTTAAAGTTGTTTTAATTACTGCTATATATATAAATAGGAATAAAATTTGCAATACTGTCAAGGGTGGCCTGTGGCCTGGTGGCAAAAGCTTTTGCTTCACACAGTGAGGGGTCCAGGTTCGATTCCCAGTGAGGGTTGAAACATTAGGGGTGTTTCCTTACACCAGTTGTCCATGTTCACCCATCAGTAAAATGGGTACCTGGGTGTTAGATGACTGGTGTGGGTTGTATCCTGGGACAAAACTGACCTAATTTACCTGAAATGCTCTGCATAACAAGGGGCTTTCTATATACGTAGTAGTACATCATTAAAGTCAGTTACGCCTATACCTCGTACATGTACTTGTAGAAATAAAGATACATGTATTATTATTATTATTATTATAATTATTATTATTATAGGTAGTAGGCTGGTAGACAGCAACCGCCCAGGGAGGTACTACCATCCTGCCAAGTGAGTGTAAAACTGAAGCCTGTAATTGCTTTACATGATGGTAGGATTGTTGGTGTCTTTTTTTTTCTGTCTCGTACACATGCAAGATTTCAGGTATGTCTTGCTACATCTACTTACACTTAGGTCACACTATACATACATGTACAAGCATATATATACACACCCCTTTGGGTTTTCTTCTATTTTCTTTCTAGTTCTTGTTTATTTCTTCTTACCTCCATGGGGAAGTGGAACAGAATTCTTCCTCCGTAAGCCATGCGTGTTGTAAGAGGCGACTAAAATGCCGGGAGCAAGGGGCTAGTAACCCCTTCTCCTGTATATATATATAAATGTAAAAGGAGAAACTTTCGTTTTTCCTTTTGGGCCACCCCGCCTCGGTGGGATACGGCCGGTGTGTTGAAAGAAAGATTATTATTATTATTATTATTATTATTATTATTATTATTATTATTATTATTATTATTATTAACATTACTTGAACAATTATGTTATGAGTAATAATTTATTTATTTATTTCATGTCTTTGCAAACAGTACATTGTGATTTTGCATTTGCAATGGTGGGTTGCAATGCAAAGAGAGCCTCTATTATGCCTAGGCATTATGGGCCAACTTAACATTATTGGCTTACAGACTACAGTACTTAACACTAAGGATTATATCATACAATATGTTGTTATACAGCATGGATGTTGCACAGTATAACTGGTTCAAAGTAGCATCAAAAGATAGACTAGATGTTCCTTTTGGTTTATGCAATACATGTATATACATTCCTGACTGACTGTGCATAAAGAATTTGAATACAGTGAGCCAGGTTTAAGTTTAGTGATAATTCATGATTAGAAATGTCCAGTGGTTATTACATCCTAGTATTTTTTGTGCAAATGGGGAAAAATCTTACCTAACAGAACCCAGTCTACTATAATCTAACATAACATAACCTAAAAGGCCTAATGTAACCTAATTCATAATAATTTGACAATGGTGCTTGCATTGTAGCATGCAAAATTATGGTATGATGAATAACGTAAAAGAGCAATTTCACAAGTATCAGGAGGATATTACTCTGGTGGTCAAATACTTGGAATTGTCCATTCCTCTCAAGGGAGGTTCCTTGATGCTGGTGAGGGGCTCTTGATCTAGGGAATTGGATCTGTGCTCAAGTTCCCTGAACTGAGCCTGAATACCTTCCATCTATCCCCCCTCCCCACAGGCACTGTATAATCCCTATGGGTTTAGCACTCCCCCATGATTATAATATTAAAATAATGGAACTATCCATTAAAATGTTTATGAGCTGTGACTGGTAAGGCATGTCACATGACAGTATACTGATGCATGATTAGTCCGGCTAGTTCTTCTGGGGTGAATTCTATCATATATTAAATTAATATTTCTAATACTGTATCTCCAAAAATATCTGTTTACACAAGGAATAGTTATCTGTGTGGGGTATGGACAGCGTGCTTGTACAGTATTTAAAAAATTAATTGCCAAGTTATCACCTTGTTGTAAAGTAAATACTATAAGCCCATTCCTTTTCTAGGCAAAATGCTAAATATGATCAGGATTCCTTTTTCAACCTAAATGAACCACTGGCTGCTTTTACTTGGTCAGCAAATCTCTCATATGTTTCCAACGTAACTACATACCTCTGTCTTGCCAGAGACATGCCGATGCTATAGTTCAGGCTGTACCACTCAATACCTGGGAGTGATGATGTCAGATATCACCTTCAAAGACAATAACATTGTACCAATTGCACCTGCTAGAAAAATGACAGGATGGATAATGAGAACCTTTAAAACTAGGGATGCCAAGCCCATGATGAGACTCTTCAGGTCGCTTGTTCTACCTAGGCTGGAGTATTGCTGCGTGCTAACAGCATCTTTCAAGGCAGGTGAAACTGCTGACCTAGGAAATGTACAGAGAACCTTCATGGCACATATAACTGCAATAAAACACCTAAATTACTGGGAACGCTTGAAGTTCCTAAACCTGTCCTCCCTAGAAAGCAGGCGGGAGAGATACAGGATCATATACAATTGGAAAATCCTGGAGGGATTGGTACCAAACTTGCACACGAAAATCGCTCCCTATGAAAGCAAAAGGCCCAGCAGACAATGCAACATTTCCCCAATGAAAAGCAGGGGTGCCACTAGCATGATAAGAGACAACACAATAAGTGTCAGGGGTCCAAGATTGTTCATCTGCCTCCCAACGCACATAAGGGGGATAACCAATAGACCCCTGGCTGTCTTCAAGCAGGCACTGGACAAGCACCTAAAGTCAGTACCTGACCAGCTGGGCTGTGGTTCTTACATTGGCTTGTGTGCAACCAACAGTAACAGCCTGGATGATCAGGCCCTGATCCACCATGAGGCCTGGTCACAGACCGGGCTGTGGGGACATTGACCCCCAGAACCCTCTCCAGGTATACTCCAGGTATATCCCCACCCCTCCTTCAGAGTGCAGGCACTGTACTTCCCACCTTTAGGATTCAAGTTTGGGTAATCAATTTTCCTGAATCCCTTCATAAATGTTACCTTGCTCACATTCCAACAGCATATCAAGTCCTAAAAACCATTTGCTTCTGCTCACTCCTATTTAACATGCTCATATATGCTTTATTTATTTATTTTATTTATTTATTTAATGTCTTTGCAAACAGTACATTGAGATTGTGTACTGTATATACAATTGTGGGTTGCAATGCAAAGAGAGGCTCTATTATGCCTAGGCATTATGGGCCAACTTAACATTATTGGCTTACATTCTAATTAATACTAAGGAGTAGTATATCATAGTTGTACAGTAGGAAAATAATTATTTCATAGTTGTACAGTAGAATATTAATTATAAATGAATCAAAATTTCTATAATACAAAGATATATTTATATTCTAAAATGATTTTGTGAAAAACAATAGATTCAATTATATTCGTGTCAACAATGGATAAAAGGTTCAATGTGATTGTTTCAGTTATGATGTGGGAGTACATAGGTGAGTAAATGTGTACTGAGTATTTAGCATTTAGTCTAGGGTGATTAAGTGGCTTTTGAGAAGAGTCTTAAATTGATTTTCAGACTGGGTTACTTTAATATCTTCTGGTAATGAATTCCATTTTTGGGGCCCTTTATGTGCATAGAGTTTTTACACAGTGTGATAGGGACACGAGGTATATCAAAAAGAGATCTGTGTCTTGTGTTGTGGTCATGTGTCCTGTTTAAGTTGGTGAGGAAAAGTTTGAGTGGGGGTTTATATTTGCATGTATTGTTCTGTGTATGTAGTAGGCACATGAATAAGTATGGATGTTCTTAATGGTAAGCAGATTCAGACTTTTGAAAATTGGTGGAGTATGCTGGCAGGATGACTAAGCCCTTCGCACACAAATCCTCCTTAACCCCTTCATCGTTAAGAGACCATACAATAAGTGTCAAGGGCCCGAGACTGTTCAACTGCCTCCCAGCATACATAAGGGGGATTACCAACAGACCCCTGGCAGTCTTCAAGCTGGCACTGGACAAGCCCCTAAAGTCGGTACCTGACCAGCCGGGCTGTGGCTCGTACGTTGGTTTGCGTGCATCCAGCAGTAACACCCTGGTTGATCAGGCTCTGATCCACCAGGAGGCCTGGTCACAGACCAGGCTGCGGGGGCATTGACCCCCGGAACTCTCTCCAGGTAAATTCCAGGTAAGACATCCCCTACCTTGACTTCCCTCCACCATAGATTTATATACCCACCAAGTCATCCTATTTTGTTCTATGTAGATGTCCAAACTACCTCAACATCCCCTCTTCAGCTCTCTGGATAATACTTCTAGTAGCCCTGCACCTCTTTTTAACCCTTAAACTGTCCAAACGTAGATCTATGTTTGCACGCGTAGTGCTCCAAATGTAGATCAACGTTTTATTTTTCATTCCTTCAAATTTGGCACAATAGGCTTGAGTCACCTAGACATGAAAGAATGGGTCTGTGCACTCAGTGCGCACACTATTAAAAAAATTTGGGAGCACTTAGTACCTTGTGGGAGCACCAGTTCATTTGAGCGCCAGCTAGAGCAAATAGTGTGGCAAATACCAGGGATTCACTGATTTCATGTCGCATTAACACTCCCATTTAAAGGGGAAAGTAAAAACAGGTTAGATAAATACATGAGTGAGTGTGGGTGGGTGTGAGTTGGACCTGACTACCTTGTGCTACTAGGTCTGATGTCATGATCCTCCCTTCAATGAATGTGACCTGACTCGGTGGGTCATGAGTCTTAGCCGGGGAGAGGGAGGGTGACATGTACCTGCCTTGTATGGGCCATTAGGCCTGCTGCAGTGTTCCTTCTTTCTTATGTTCTTATGTATTCAGCAGGCTGGCTGGCTGGCTGTCTTGCTTTGGCTGTCTCTGGCTGTTTCTCTGTCTATATCTCTATTTGTCTATATCTCTGCCTATCTATATCTCTGTCTATCTATATATCTGTCTATCTA